CCCCGGTTCCAAAAAAAAAAAAAAAAGACTGAGAAACTGTGCAGGAAGACCAGTGGTAAGGAGGAGCTGTGGGGATTGGGAGAGGCTGGCAGAGTGAGCTAGGATTGGTGGGTACTAGGGCAGGTCTACTGGGCAGGGTTACCAGGTGGAGGAGGATAGATACCACATGTGCTAGGTCCCGGGTCCTAGCAGGTGTTGGAATAGTTTTTTTGTTTTTTTTTTTTCCCAGTATAACACTAGGGACTGAACCCCAGGCCTTCACACTGAGCTACATTCCAGCACTTTCTCATTTTCTATTTTGAGACAGGGTCTCCCTAAGTTGCTAAATTACCCAGTCTGGGCTCAAACATAGGCTCCTCCTGCTTCAGCTTCACAGAGTATGCCACCAGGCCTGGCTAGGGACAGCTTTCTTGGAGTTGGGGTCAGTGGGTGGGAGGCGTCTTCAGAAGGCAGCCAGTGCCACAGCAGGCCTGCAGAGGACCAGGACCAGCTCTAAACCAGAGGGGGCTCCAGCTGCCACCTGTGCCTTTCTCCATCACTGCCTTCCTCGCACACATCACTGCTCATCTCTGCCTGCCAAGTCCCTGCTACACTATGACCTGAGGCAAGTGACCTTGCCTCTCTGGGCCTCAGCTTTTCACCTGTAAGTGGGGCAGGAGACCAGCAGGGTGAGTGTCCAGACTAAGTGTAAGCACTCACAGAGCACTTCTGTGCCTGGTGCACAGTGTCTGTAGAAAAAATACGCTTCAAAAATGTTTCTTACGCCTGCAGCACCCAGTACTCCCAAGGAGTCTGCTAACCCAGTACGGACCAGGCCTGAGCTTGATAACTTCTAAGATCAACAAGGCTGGGAATATTCAGGGCTACGTGCTTCTTGGCTACCTTAAATTGTTACGACCCAGTGAAGGAGTAGTGAAGGAGTAGTAAGTTTTCAGAGGAGCCCCGGAGGATCAGAAGGGTGCAGCAAATAAACAGCCCAGCAGAGGCCCAGGGCTCTTTTCGTCTCCATAGACCTTGTTCTGTCCACCGTGCTGGCTGAGTGGTGAAGTGCTGACCTGGGGGAAGCTGCTAGAAAAGCAGTGGCATTTGTTTCTCAATAAAATTATTATTATTATTT